ACACGTACCCTAGAACTTAAAGCATAATAAAAAAAAATTAAAAAAAAAAAAGAGTTACTGAGAATCCAGCCAATGTAGTGGCTTATGCCTGTAATTCTAGCACTTTGGGAGGTTGAAGTGATCCTTTGGGAGGATCACTTGAGGCCAGGAGTTCGAGGTCAGCTTGGGAACACATCAAGACCTTGATCTCTACAAAAAGCAAACAAACAAACAAAAACTTTTAAAAAATTAGCCAGACATGGTGGTATGTACCTGTAGTCCTAGGTACTTGGGAGGATTGAGGCTGGAAGATTGGTTGAGCCCGGAAGTTCAAGGCTTCAGTAAGCTATGATCACACCACTATACTATAGCCTGGGACAGAGTGAGATCATATTTCTAAAGAAAAAAAATAGAATTATTGAGGATCCAAAGAACCTTTGTTTATGAGGATTAGATCTACTGATAATTCCCATATTTGAAATTAAAATGAGACATTTAAAAAATATTTATTTTAAAAAACAGTAATAAATTCGCTATATGTTAACATAAATGACTTTTTTTTTTTTTTTTTTTTTTTTTGAGACAGAGTTTCGCTCTTGTTGCCCAGGCTGGAGTGCAATGGCATGACCTTGGCTCACTGTAACCTCTGTCTCCAGCTCCAAGCAATTCTCCTGCCTCAGCATCTCAAGTAGCTGGGATTACAGGTTCCTGCCTCTATGCCCAGCTAATTTTTTTGTAGTTTTAGTAGAGATGGGGTTTCACCATGTTGTCCAGGCTGGTCTTGAACAGTTGACCTCAGGCGACCCACCCACCTCAGCCTCCCAAAGTGCTGGGATTACAGGCATGAGCCACTGCATCGGCCAATATGTTATTTTTATGAAAAATAACTATAGTTTCCCAAACAAAAAAAAAGTAACAAAATAAATATAGTGAGAATCGTGGCATTGTTTAGCATTTTGTGAAGCTCTGTAATGTCTGTCTCAATAGAAGACAGGTGGATTCTCACATCTATTTCTGCATTCCATCTGTAGTATCTCACTTTAGGTAGCTTCTGGAAAATTAGAATTAAAAAGACCGGAACATCTTAGTATTATCATGAAAACAATTTTGACCTGAGAGAGAATTAGGAACCTTCAGGGGCTTCAACCATGTTTTGTAAACCTGATGGTGCACACCATGGTATATATGGAAAATTATCACATGGCTATAGGGCTATATGGTGTGGTTTGCAGTCCTGGAGGACACCAGCTCAGGAAAGAGTCTTCATTTTTTTTTTTTTTCTGTTCAAATAAATTGATAGCAATGATAGTTTATTGTCAAGTTCTTATTTTACTTTCTCTACAGGTGAGAAAATACTCGTTGAGGCCTAGTGAATTCAGTTTCAAATTTAATAGTCGTTAACATTACCTTTTCTAATTAGAATCAAAGGATTTTAGAGTTGGAAATGCTGAAAGAGAATTCTACAATGTCTTTTGGTCAAATATGAGATGGCACCACTGGTAGCATGCAAAAAAAGTTAGGTGAGATACCCTGAGGTAGTACACAGACAAGATGTTAAACAAAATATTGACTAAAGTAATGAAAAAGTTATTTCCTTTTAGTGCCTCTTTCTACCTGGTTACACTGAGTGAAAAGTTTTCAGTTTTTTTTTTTTTTTTTGAGACAGAGTCTCGCTCTGTCGCCCAGGCTGGAGTGCAGTGGCGCTATCTAGGCTCACTGCAACCTCCACCTCCTGGTTCAAGCGATTCTTCTGCCTCAGTTTCCCAAGTAGCTGGGACTACAGGCCCCTGCCACCAGGCTTGGCCAATTTTGTGTATTTTTCGTAGAGACTGGGTTTCACCGTGTTAGCCAGCATGGTCTCAATCTCCTGATCTCGTGATCCGACCTCGTAATCTGCCTGCCTCAGCCTCCCAAAGTGCTGGCCTCAGCCTCCCAAAGTGCTGGGCTTATGCCACCGCGCCCAGCCTCAGTTTGTTTTTTGGTATGTCTTCAATATACCCTAACTACCTTGCAGAGTCTTTAACCAACTTGCACATTTTCCAATTTAACATAAGGTTAGCCTAAGGCTGACAGCCTTAGGCAGATAAGAGTATCTAGCTAGAATTTAATGGCATTGTTTTTTCTTTATCTTTATTTTTTTATTACCATCCATTTAGAGCAAGTCATTTTGGGTTTTAATTTAATAAGGTTTAATTTTAAAATATTTTATTTGCTTTTAAAAAATACAGTGATTTAAAGAAAATAGTTGTGAAATAATAATATGAATGGTATGATGATATGGCAAAAGTAATCAAATGAACGACTGAGGTTTGGGGAAAAACAACTTGATTCTATTCCTAATTTAGAGGTAGAAAAATCAAGGCATAGAGAAAATTGATTTGCTGCAGATAGCCATAGTCAGACTTAAACTCTGGTCTTATTCTCAATTCAGAAGTCTTTCTACTACAGCGTAATTAGTGCTAAAGTGTAACACTGAGCATCTTAACGTTAGGACCTGCCTCTGAAGCCAGACAGATTCAGGTTTAAGCTCCAGCATCATTCCAGCCTAGCTGTATAATCATGGACAAATTGCTTAACTTCTATCATCCTTGGTTTCTTCATTTATGAAGTTAACTCAGCTATTTCACCTACTTAATATTTCATTGATATTAAATGAGATAATATTTAAATAGTTAAAATGGCTGCTGACCCTCAATAGACAGAGCTATTTTTATTAGCTGAAGTCACTTTTACTGAACTGCAGAGCATTTGGAGCAAAAGGATCTTCCTTCCTAGCCAAGGCTTGGCTCCAGTGTGTGTGAACTGCATCTGCCACTTGGATCCTTACTTAATTAAAGGTTGGAAACCATTGCATTTCCCTGGAGGGGTCTAACTCGTCTCTGGTTGCAGGGAAGGGAGGTAAAAAGTGTTAACTGGGAAACTCATGCAGCCAAGGGTTAAAATAGCTGAAGAAGAATTCTGGCCTCTGATGTCTGTGATGCAAAGCCAAGTGTGTTTGCCTTTGTGAGCCCAGGAATGCTTCTGGTGAGTCTTGTTTGTTGTGGAAACTGACTTGATCAAAGTGGGGAGAATTAAAAAGATCCATCAGAATAATAGTCAAGGCTGTATATGAAGTCCCCAGACAGAGCCTTGAACCTGAAGGCTCCCACTGAGGACAGACAAGTCAGCTGACAGCAACTGGGAAGAAAAGAGTCTTTTTAGGCAGATGGTGCAGCTAGGAGTATCTATCTCTGGGTAGATAAGAGCTCAGATTTGATGAGGTGTAGTGGTGACACAGAATGCTGACCTTGTGTTTTCTTAGGATTCTTGTAACACCAAGATTGTGGCTTTTAGGTGTCAGTTTTTGAGAGTGAAGTTACTATGTGAAGTAGGCACTTTTTGTAGTAAAGCCTTTGGGAGTGGGGAAACTGTGCTAATTGCACTGGAGATCCTGTGCTAATTGTACCAGAGTGTTTTAAGGCACAATGTCACACTTCTCCCCGTATTAATTTACAAATATTGAAACATTCTCATTATGATTAGGCAGTATTAAGGGATCCTAAGTGGCTGGCACTATTTTAGATTGTTTAGATCAGTTAGTTCCTCCCAGATGAGGATTAGTAAAATTGATATTTTATCAAGTATGAAATGACCTTGGAGCCTCCTGGTTGCTAAGTTAGAATGCATAACCAAGGCAGCCCAGGAATCTAAAGCAGAAGGGTTGGAGATCTAAAAAAATGTCTGGTGTTGCTCATATATTTTAGAGCTGGGAAAACTGAGGCCCAGAGAGAGGAGGCAACTTGTTTGATATTATAGTCAAATCACCTGCCTTTTAACCTGTTGCCATGACAAAGAAGCTACAGAAAATGGAGTAGTGGTCTAGAAGGCGGCCACAGGAGACAGTGTCACCTTCTGGGCATTTGCAAATTGAAATGTTGCAGGCATATCACTCTGTTTTTAGTTTTTGACAAAAATAATAATAATCCTGCGTTTTGTTTGGTTTTTGCTTTTCTTTGTGTGTTTTTATCTTTGTCTTTTTATCTCTAATCCTCCCAGGACACCCTTCAGCAAGACTGTCCTGTGCAGGTAGATCCAGAGTGAAGCCTTTATAAAGATTAATAATTCACCCAATACTGCTTCCAGTGAGAGAATTTCATAATCATTTCTCATGTTGAGTGCTTTACAAATCACAAAGCTCTTTAAAATCTATTCTCCCACGGATCCCTTCACAGCCTTAAAGGGAGGCAGAGCATCCATTTCATGGATGCAGTAGGTAAGGCAGAGAGCCAGTGGCTCACTTCGGGTCACACCACCCCAAAGCCACTGAGCCACCCCACCTGGGTCTCCAGTTCCTGGGGACAGTCAGAGTGCAGCACCTCTCACAGCAAGCATAGACAGGCCAAGACATGTGGAGGAGCCCGCCAATCCCCCAGGATGCATTCCGTGAGCACTCCACTTGGTGGGAGTTTCAGGAAATTCTGCAACAAGGGAGAGGGAGGAGGCTGGGAGAAGTGGAGAGAAATGCTCAGACAGTATGGGGGAGGAGGAGGCAATCTGGAAATCTTGCACCGAAAAAGGTAAGAATTAGGGAAAGGTTCAGACAGGCAGGCTGCAGACTTAAGAGGTGAAATCCCAGGGAAAATTCGTTTCCTTTCTAGGCGCTCCCAGCAACGGCTTCCATGAGGAAAACGTTTGACATACTGCATTAACACCACCACCACCACCACCACCACCACCACCACCACCACCACCACCACCACCACCACCACCACCACCACCACACACAACTGCCTTCCTGGGGCACCCCTCCCTCTGAATGGGGAGAAGTCTGGGTTCACTTTGCTTTGCAGGCCCTGGGACCCGCTTAACCCAGAGATGAGGGAGAGCCCTGTGGCCTTATCCTTCCTGCCGAGACGCCGGGGAAAGTCGGCCTCTGCATCAAAGCAATGAGAGAGCAATGCGCTATTTTTGTCTGCCTCTCTCCTCTCAGTCAAAGCTCTGGCTGATTTCCTGCCCAGGCGCTAACCGGGGTCTCACCCTACCTTCAGGTCTCTCCCTTCCCAGGATTCACTAAAACGGGGAATCCAGGAAAAAGAAGCTGGGCTCTCCGGTTTCTGTTTGTCTTTGGAAACCACTTATGGAGTCGGAATTGGGGCCCGCAAATGTGGACTCTTCAGGAATGACTCCCCCGCTCCAGTCGAGTTACCAAATGAGGCCAATTCATTCTTTGGAATGTAGCAGCCTGGGCAATGATGATTGATACTGACAGCAAAGCTTTCATGTAGCAATATCCCCGGCCGCTGACTGTGAGGAGAAAAGAAAGAACTCTCTGGAATTCACAACATTCCCCCTCCAATTAATCCCCAGCCGCCCCGCTGTGTGTGAATGGGGTGTGCTAGGGATTCGTAGCTGTGATGCGGGGGATTTGCTGATTCCTTGAAGCCCCCTGAGGAGAGGTGATATGGAGAGCAAATAATCAGCATGCAGCGCTGGAGGGATGGAAAGAATTGGCTCGGCTGGGCCTGGCTTTACTATTTGCACACTTTTAGGGACCTCCGAAACTGGGTTTGCAGACAAAAACCTGTGGTTGAGGGGCCCTCAATCCCCGACCTATTGAGAGCCAGGATTGCGGCCGGATCTCCTACTAGCTTAAGATAGGAGCCTTGCCTCAGAAAGAGGGAACCAGAGGCGACTGTCCAAGATGAAGAGGTGACTGGAGTCCCAATTCTCACCCAAGTGCAGGCAGGCAAGGTCTTCCCGGCCACCTCTACCTCGCCGCAGTCACAGGCTTACCCTAACCAATCAAGACTAGAGTTTGCATTGCAGTGTATGCACTGGAGTGAATTGCATTTTTCAATATGAGTCCTGCCTCTCAAAATGCTGCTTATTCCCCCGCCCCCACCCCGCCAGCTCCAGATCCATCTCTGTGAAGCCTTCTCTGCTGGTAAGAATAAACTTTGGGTTCTCTGTGTTTTCAACGCATCTGTGACGGTTAAACTCTTGTTCTGGTTTGTTGGGTGTGAATCTGCCTCACACTGTGAAACGGGAAAGGTTCCCTTGACCCCCTCACATGGTGTGCCACGGGGGTGTGGCTCGCTTCTCCAGTGCCCTGCTGCTCAAACCTCCGGGGGGCATAGAGGCAGGCAGGCATACAGGACTCCGACCCTAAGGCAGTGCCTGGGGGAGAATGTTTACGGCTCCTGAAGCCCCAGTGTGCATGTGTTACAGGGTGCTCTTTCAGTTTTCTATAAGCGGCTTGGGTTAAACCAGCTCAATTAAACCCTCTACCTTGTCGCAAGGACAGAGGGCTTTCTGTATCCGGGTTCTTGCCTTGGTGTACCAAAAGAAGCGGATCACACGTGGGGTTGGAGAATGCGCGCAAAGTTTTATTGAATGGAAGTAGCTCTCCAATGATAGGGGAGCAAGGAGGGAAATGGTTTTCCCCTGAAGTTGGGCTGCTCAGCGAAGTCCAGCTGCTTGTCTTCTTCCGCTGATGTGTTCCTCTCGTAGTCCAGCAGCTAATGTCTTTGACTTTCCAGGGTCTCGGGTTTCTATAGGCCCAGGATGGGGGCGTGGCATGCTGGCGGCGCGGGGAGGTCGGGGGGCGGTCCTTGAAAACGCAACATTTGGTGCGAAGGCGGAAGTGCCTCTCTTTACCTAGGTCCGTGAGGGTAGAGCCCTAGCCAGGGACCACGCCCTTCTCTCAGGCACTTCAGATACCGCTTCTGCATCATTTAAAGGGACTAGCTCTTCCCTTCCCTGCACTCCTGTATCAATAGCACCCCGGACAGTACCTGGTTCAAAACGAACAACTAATGTTTATTGAGCACTTACTATGTGGCAGGCACTGAGTTTTTATATTCATTACCACAATCCTCACAGTAATCTCTGGAATAAGTATTATTATTAGCTTTATTGGTTCAGAGAGGAAAGAGGCATAGGAACCATGGTAGAGTCACCGAGTGGAAGCAGTAACTTGTAGGTAGGGAGAGTCAGATTCGAACAAGGCTCTCTCATCACAATCTCTGGTTCCCACAACTCTTGCCCTCCTGTAGGCTTCTCATTACTCCTCACTGGGAATGTCTGCCACAGTGCTTCCCACTGCCAAGCGTGCACACCCTCAATTCCCCTCCGCTGCTCACCGCAGCCGGGGAGTCTTTTTAAGAGACCCCCCCCCAGAAAGATCACTCTCCTGCTTAAAACCCTTCTAGGGTTCCCGATAGCACTTAGAAGAAAATTCAAACTCCTTAGCTTAGCACATAAGCCCCTTTATGATCAGACACCTGGAAATAAATAAAGATCGAGATGATAATCCTAACAACCTTTGGGAGAACTTTGGTGGACAGGCTGTGCAGCCCCTGGGCCTGGCTCCCTGAGGGTAGTTTCCACTCAAACTCTGTTCCCATCTTGCCACTCCTAACAGTTGCCACTACTTACTTGCTTTCTTGGGTTCCTCTTCCTTCATTCAGGACTAAAGGTGTTAGAAGTAGATTTCACTTCTGGTTCCACTGTAGCTGAAAGGGGTTCAAGATGAACACTTGATTTTTAAAGTTTTTTTTTTTTTAGCTGTTGTTGCCAGGAACCACATGACACTAGGCAAATACTATGAGAATGTTCTTAACTATTAAATGCTCAGTGTCAACCAATCTGCATTTTCATACATTGCAGGCCAAAAAAATTAACTTTTGCACACCAAATTTGAGCATTCATCAATCAGCTGACAAATGAAATATCAGGCTCTCCCACGGGGCATGCCTGCCAGCCACTGCGCAGTTTTAGCAGCAGCAGCAGCAGCAGCAGCAGCTTTGTTTTCTCAGCAGCATTAGTACAATTAGTTAAGCATTTCATTATGGAGTGTCCGTATTTTATAAAAACACATGTACAAGCCATTTCACTTTTCATTCAACAGTCCATCAACTAATATTTATCGACTCACATTTATATGTGGGCAGAGGATCTGTGGTGGGCAGTCAAGGTCCTTGGTAATGTCACAAGGTCTTGTGGCTGTGCCAGGAGAGCTGAGAAAGACAATGGACAAACAAATAAATATGGTCAGCATCATCAGAAAATCAAACCGGTTGATGTGATAGAGGAGTGGGTGGGCCTGCTTTAGAACAGTCAGAGGAAGGGCTTTCTAAGCAGAGACGTGACCTGTATAAGAAGGATCCATCCAATGCAACTAATTGGAAGTATAGCATTGCAAACAAAAGGCAAGGGCCTGAGGTGGAGAGAAGCCTGGCTTCTTTGGAGACAGTAAGAAGGCTGGTGGGACTCAAGGATTTGACTGAGCAGGAGATGGAGTGGGAGATTAGGTGGGAGATATGAGCAAATAGATCATTAGGGTCTTGTAGGGCAATGGCTTTCAACTCTTTTAATGTGGCCCCAGAGTAAGAAATTTATTTTCCATCACAGTCTAGCACACACACATATCTGAGAGAGAAACTTCATGAAATTATACTTTTTTTTTTTTTTTTTTTTTTTTGAGACGGAGTCTCGCTGTGTCGCCCGGGCTGGAGTGCAGTGGCCGGATCTCAGCTCACTGCAAGCTCCGCCTCCCGGGTTTACGCCATTCTCCTGCCTCAGCCTCCCGAGTAGCTGGGACTACAGGCGCCCGCCATCTCGCCCGGCTAGTTTTTTGTATTTTTTAGTAGAGACGGGGTTTCACCGTGTTAGCCAGGATGGTCTCGATCTCCTGACCTCGTGATCCACCCGTCTCGGCCTCCCAAAGTGCTGGGATTACAGGCTTGAGCCACCGCGCCTGGCCACTTTTTTTTTTTTTTTTTTGAGTTGGGTCTCAATCTGTCACCCAGACTGGAGTGCAGTGGCCCAATCACAGCTCACTGCAGCCTCAGCCTCCGGGGCTGATCCTCCCACCTCAGTCCCCTTTGCCCACCAGTAGCTGGGACTACAGGCCCACACCACTACACCTGGCTCATTTTGTATTTTTTGTAGACACTGGATTTCAACATTTTGCCCAGGCTGTTTCAAACTCCTATGCTCAAGCCATCTGCCTCAGCCTCCCAAAGTGCTGGAATTACATGCGTGAGCCACCATGCCCGGCCCTTATAAAATAATACTTATCTTTACTACACATGGTACCTTTGATATCTTCTGTCTTATTTTATTTTAAAATGCTGATCTTTACCTAGTACATTGGTTTAACAATCTAGTAAATGGTTTGGTTTGAAAAACTCTGTCCTAGACCATAGTAAGGGGCTTGGATTCTATTCTTGGTGTAATTGGAAACCCTTGGAAAGTTGTAAGCAGGGGAGTAACATGGTCTGATTTACATTTAAATTTTTTTTTTTTTTTTTTTTTTTTTGGCGAGGTCTTGGTCTGTTACCCAGGTCTGTCACTCCAGGTACTCAGGAGGATTGCTTGCACTCAGGAGTCAGAGTCCAGCATGGACAACACAGTGAGACCCTTATATCTAAAAGAAAAAGAACATAAAAGCAAAATGCTGGCAGCCCAGCATTTCTATTTATGGCTTTTTTTGAGATGGAGTTTCACTCTTGTCGCCCAGGCTGGAGTGCAGTGGCGCAATCTCAGCTGGCTGCAACCTCCACCTCCTGGGTTCAAGCGATTCTCCTGCCTCAGCCTCCCGAGTAGCTGGGACTATAGGTGCCTGCCATCATGCCCGGCTAATTTTTTTGTATTTTAGTAGAGATGGGGTTTTGCCATGTTGAGCAGGCTGGTCTTGAACTCCTGACATCAGGTGATCCGCCTGCCTCAGCCTCCCGAAGTTCTGGGATTACAGGCGTGAGTCACTGTGCCCGACCCAGTCCAGCATCTCTAAACTGTAATCAAGAATTTTACAATATTTTGGCCGGGCGCGGTGGCTCAAGCCTGTAATCCCAGCACTTTGGGAGGCCGAGGCGGGCGGATCACAAGGTCAGGAGATCGAGACCACAGTGAAACCCCGTCTCTACTAAAAATACAAAAAATTAGCCGGGCGCGGTGGCGGGCGCCTGTAGTCCCAGCTACTCAGGAGGCTGAGGCAGGAGAATGGCGGGAACCCGGGAGGCGGAGCTTGCAGTGAGCCGAGATCGCGCCACTGCACTCCAGCCTGGGAAACAGCGTGAGACTCCGTCTCAAAAAAAAAAAAAAAAAAAAAAAAAAGAATTTTACAATATTTTTAGCTTTCTGGAGATAGAGCACCACTCACATTGTTTGCGTGAGCTTGTCTTGAACTTTCACTTTAGTGTCATCTTAGG